CCCCTGGGTAGAGTGCTGTGAAGCCTCCCAAGTAGCTGGGACCACAGGCGCCCGCCACAACGCCCGGCTATTTTCTGGTTGCAGCCCTCGTTGTTTGGCGGCGCGGGTTGGATTCGAACTTGCCACCTTAGGTGTATGTGGCTGGCGCCTTAGCCAGTTGAGCCACAGGTGCCAAGCCCTTTTTTTTTTAGTTTTTGGCGGGGGCCAGCTTTGAACCCGCCACCTCCAGCATATGGGGCCAGCGCTCTACTCCTTTGAGCCACAGGCGCTGCCCTGAGGGCCTGTTTCTGATGTTTCCGAGTGCCAAATTGGGGAGTGACACGTGATACCTACTACTGACTGCTTGGCCATTTTCCCCTATGCCTCCTTGGCCAGTGATGCTTCCTCTCCCCTAGAGCCTCTAGGTACAGTAGTCCAGGTTGTGCACTGCACAGTAGGCTCCATATTCAAGGAGCTGCCATGCATGTCCCAGGTACCAGACATTTGCGTATTTGTTACAATAGTGTCCCAGCAGATGGGGATCGAGTGCTTTGAGGAAGAGGCCTGTCTTTTGCACAAAAGTACCATAAGGGTCAGATCAGCCCCCCCATCCTCCCCCTGGTGCCCTTGGATTTATAAAAGGCTCATGCCTGAGGACCTGCCCCTCTTTCCCAATATCTGAGCCCTGGATTGCTGTGCAGGCTCACTGGCTGTGGTGTGCCACTCCACCCTCAGGCTCAACCCCAGTATACCACACCACCCAGCCAGCAGATTCCAAGGCCCACACCATTCCTAGCCCAGCTGCCAGCACTGGCCCTGCTACTGCCTTTCACAGAATGTCTGTGTATTTTGGCCATGATGTCCCGCAGGCCAGCTCCTCTCCACAGGCACTCACAGGAGCACCTCACCACCAGACACATACTTGTCTCCCCACACCTAGGACAACTGTGGGTAGATATTCTTGGCCTCCTTTGCCTCCTTCCCTTCTTACCTTCCTTCATTCACTAAAGTTCATGAGTACCTACTGTGTGCCTGTAAAAGGTAAGTTTGAGCATATCTGGGCGCTCAGAATACACCCCGGTCCTCTGGGATCTGAACCCTACATCTTCCAAGGCTCAGTTTCTACCCTTGTTCCATCATCCATTTATTGAACACTTACCGAGCACCTACAGTATGCAGTCTCAGTGCCTTGCAGAAATCTAACCCAGAGATGTTACTGAAACAATGCACTGCTTTTTTTTTGTTTTTTTGAGACAGAGTCTCACTATGTTGCCCTCGGTACAGTGCCACGGTGTCACAGCTCACAGCAACCTCAAACTCCTGGGCTCAAGCGATCCTCTTGCCTCAGCCTTCCGAGTAGCTGGGACTACAGGTGCCCACCACAACACCTGACTATTTTTAGAAACAGAGTCTCACTCTTGCTTAGGCTGGTCTCAAACTCCTGAACTCAAGCAATCTACCTGCCTCGGCCTCACAGAGTGAGAAACAATGAACTTTAGAGAAGAGGTTGTGCCTGAAAACCAGACCTCCTGGGTTTGGAACCCTAGCTTTGCCACTCTGTGGCTGTGTGACACTAGGGAAGGTACTTCTCTGAGCCTTAGGGTCTTCATCTGTAAATTGGAGTAGTAATAGTATTCACCTCAAAGGGCTGGTATTCTGGGAAAAGGAAATAACACGTGCTAGGGCTAAGAAATGAGGGACCCTACAACATTTTGAAGGCTCTCTAAGCTGCTAGGGTTTAGCTGGAATGAGATGGAAAGTGGTAAAGTAAGTAATGTGACTGGAGGGGTCACCAGGGGCCAGGGCATATAAGACCCTGGATGGGCTCAGGCCCTGTAGCTCAGTGGTTAAGGTGCCAGGCACATACACAGGGCTGGCGGGTTTGAACCTGGCCCAGGCCTGCTAAACAACAATGACAACAACAACAAAAAATAGCCAGGCATTGGGGCAGGCACCTGTAGTCCCAGCTACTTGGGAGGCTAAGGCAAGAGAATCGCTTGAATCCAAGAATTTGAGGTTGCTGTAAGCTGTGATGCCATGGCTCTGTCGCAAAAAAAAAAAAAAAAAAAAAAAGACCCTGGATGGAGAACTTTACTCTAAAGGTACTAGGTAGCCATAAAGTAAAAAGGTCCCTCTGCCAGGTGAGTGTAGTGAGACTGGAGGCCTGGAACTCAGGGGTGGCCAGACCATGGAGGGACAGAGCAGCCACTGGGATGGGAAATGGGAAGGGACACTTGGGAGGCCCAACAAACAGGCTGAAGCTAATAAACCAGCAATTGTAGAAGGGTAGGACAGGATGGGCCCAGTGGCTCATGCCTATAATCCCAGCACTCGAGGAGGCAAAGACAGGTAGATTGCTTGAGCTCTAGAGTTCAAGACCTACCTGAGCAAGAGTGAGACCCCATCTCTACTAAAAATAGAAAAAACTAGCCAGGCG